GCCTTAGTAGAAATTAGCACGTGCCTCCTTGTTACGTTAAATATCTCTATGTGTGTATATAATTTTTGTTTGGTTTTTTTTTTTAAAAAGGTGGTTACTTCTGGTCCTAATTATGAGATACCAGTTTCTTTGAAGATCATCAAGTTAATCTTTTTTCAAACTTTTTTTAAAACTTTTGAAAATGGCTTATACAGTAGAGCCAGTGGATGTTGTTTTCACTTTCTGAAAAGGGTCACTGGTAAGAGAGTGAGATTCAAGATTAGAATTTTGTGTAATCTTTCCATTATGAAAAGTTAACTGTTTTTATTTTTCCATGAAAGAAGGGGAGCTCTTTCACATTTACCCCAGAGTAAGGGCAAGTCCGTAGGGATTACTGTGGAGCAACTGATGTGCTGTCGGATCCCATCTCAGCTGACCCTCTGGTGCCTTGCTTGCCTGTCCATATGCATTGTCACATTGCAGTAGGGCTTCCATGAGGCCTTTGCCTGTGAGAAGTAAACCACTAAGTAATTACACAGTTATGTGCTCAAGCATATACCATGCTGTTATTCCTTGTGGCCATTCTTGGGCTGCCAGGTAGCATCATCATCATCATGGAGTTACCTATAGTGGTATCTTTTGGTAACGTGGACTCATCCACTGCAGTTGGATTTGAGAGCTTTCACAGTGTCCCTGAAAGACAGATTTGAGGAACTGGTGCCTTTCAGATGCATTTACTGCTCTGCTGCTGCTGTGGGTGGCTTGCCTTTACATATTTCCAAACAGTAGCTAGTAGAATTGCATACCCCAGTTATCCTAATACCTCTATATGCTATTTATGAGTTACAGATCTTTGTAATCTGTGTGCACATATTTAATGTGGAGAAATTTAGCTCTTGAATGTTACCTGGATGTTGGAAGATGTTGATTCTGTTTGAGGATGGGTTAAGTCTTTGCTTGCTGAGTGTCTGAGCAGAAATTACTTGTCTCCGTTACCTGGTTGGTGCTTTTGGCCCTACAGAAGGTTTAAAATTTCCAAAAATTTGGAAGATGTGCACAGCACATCTGATGACAGGAGAGCTGAAGTTCTTCCCTGTTTGAACTAAGGACTGAGAAATCCATGAGGAGGGGAAGAGTTTTGCATCTGAGAAACACTTAAAGCTGGGTTTGAAAGTCTCTACAAATTTCCACCTCCGGGTCTGTCTTGTGCAGAGAGCCTCTGTCTCTAAGGTAGCTTTATGGTGAGGTTCTTGGGGAGCTGTGAATGTTGTTGTCAGACTGTACCGTGGGAGAGGAACTTTGAGGCCAGGAGGCAGATACTATGCCTAGGCTTCTTTTCAGTTTACTTGCAACGGCACTATGTGTGTTTTCATTTTTTTTGTACATAAATTCTCCATTTGCTTTGCTTGGATTTCTGTGAAGGGTGATTTGCATGTAATCAGAAAATAGTTGGTGAGTTCCAAGGAAGCAGAAAGATGATGGGGCAAGTGTTTGAGCCCAGAGGGTCCTGTTGAATTTTTCTGTGAGATTACTGGCTGACTGATTAAAGGCAAATCAAAGTATCCAGAAGAGATTGCCTTGAGTATGTGGTGTCACTGAGAGACATTTTCTGTTCTTCATCAATATTTCCCTTTCCCAGACTGGGTGCTGTAGTTGCTTCAAGAGAAACACGAAACAAACCCCAATAATGGCAAGTGTGTGTTTGAGACATTTTATTTCAGTTCATTTCACAGTTATTAAAGTAGCAGAATGGGAAATCTAGTTGACTGAAGGTTTCAGGTACACTTGAGCTTTGTTGTGTTACAGGAATTATGTGTATTTGCTTCTTTTTAAACTTAAAGAGATAACTTGTTCATTAGACTACTATTAACTGTGGTGCTAAGGGAAACTGATAACGTTACTTACATATGCAGTATGATGCTGGCCATCTCCTTGACCAGTGTTTTGATAAGATCCTTTTCTAATGGGGTATTGTTCTGGAGAGTGCTGTAGTAATTTCTGTAAATGTCTAAACTTAAAATCTATTAATATCTCTTCTAACTTGCCAAGTTAAATCAATGCAATCCAAATACACTTTTATACAGAATAGCCAGATAACTGTTTATAGTCTCATTATTTTCTACGGGTTATTTGTGATCAACTGAGGTAATTTTTTGTAAATGTTAATATGTGATTTTTTTTTATATATATATATATAGTGGAGTATTGTTGGGGTTTTTTTTTGGTAGGATGTGTACAGTGTAATTAGTTTTTAATTGTAAACATTTTGAATTGGGATTCTAAATAGAAACCAAAGCATAATGCAGATAATAATAGAACTTCCCATATCTCATGGAGGAACACTGTTTTATTCAGAGTGGTGGTAAAAAGTCTAATAGCTGTTGGTTTGCTTTACCTTAGTTTTTAAAAAAATATATGCTATTTTATATAAAACTAGCATGGAAACAACTAACTGGGAGATTTTATGTTGGAAACTTTTTTCCTTCTTCATGCAGAGAGCGTGGTGTTTGCTAATGTCATGCATGTGGGCAGGCTTAATATTTCTTTGATTCAGGGTGAGTTTGTCATTCTTGGCAAGAAAGAAATCGATTGCCAGTAGATGTGATGAGGTTTAGTTTGAAGATAATTGAAGTTGGACTGTGACAAATCCTTCATATTGATTAATACAAACAATTTGTTGTGGCAAGACCCCCCCTAATTAGCTGACAGTTTATAACTGAAGAAGAACGGGGTTTGACTTAAAACTTAAGACAATTCAACGCATTAAGTTAATGTAATTAATGAGAACTGCATTTGGCACACCTCATTTTAATTATGCAAAAGATATATTTGCATGTCGCTTTGTGCTCATTTGAGCATGTTGTATGTTCAGGCACCATGGATATTATTCTGTTTATATTTTTAAAGTAGAAACACTGTGTTCAGCAAAGCTGAAATAATTCTTCAGAGTTTCACAAATCTTTTCAATTATCTTAAGTCAGCATTTAGTCTTTCTGTGTTGTTTTGGGAAATTAAAAAATAAGTTGAAAATTTCAGTTCCACATTTGTAATTTAGCTGTTTTGAGAAATATGTATATCAACTCTTAATTGAAATACTTGATTATGAATTTATACTGTCATCTTAACCTGACTTTCTGGGAAATCTTGTTGGAGTAGTGTTTTGATGAAGGGGGAATGTTACTACTTGGTAGAACTTCATGTACTGTCGCTTTCATATTTCTGCTGCCACAGCCTGTCTGCTTCTCTAATCCACTTTATATAGTGATGTCGCACTTCTTTAAAAAGTAGTATCAGAGGAAAAATGCAAATGTTTAGTGTGGGAAGTAGGCAGAAATACAATGATGAAATAAAAGGGGAAATGCACTTTCAAATTTGGCAGAACAGTATTTTCCAGCAATTTCTGTTCTGTCTTTTTGGAAAAACTGTTCAATTTACTTTAGCGCACAGTGGATCGAATGTGATTTCTTTAATTGTTTCCAGAGGTTTATCCATATTAATGGAATTAAAAATGGAAGGACACCATTTGCAATGTATTTTTGTGCTTTGTACACAAAAACTTGTCAGAAATCATAATTTTGAAAGGCAAAGCCTCGACGTTGTATTTTCTTTTTGGCTTGATTTCATTAGAGAACACGACTTCAATGATTTATGCTGGGAAGTGTTTGTGAACAATACTGCCTTGCAGATGTGTGGCCCCCAACATAAGAAGGACATGTAGCTGTTGGAGCAAGTCCAGGGGAGGGCCATGAAGATGATCAGAGGGCTGGAGCACCTCTCCTGTGAGGACAGGCTGAGAGAGTTGGGGATGTTCAGCCTGGAGAAGAAGAGGCTCTGGGAAGATCTAATTGCTGCCTTCCAGTACCTGAAGGGGCCTACAGGAAAGATGGGGAGGCACTGTTCATCAGGGAGTGTAGTGACAGGACAAGGGGTAATGGGTTTAAACTAAAAGAGGGTAGCTTTAGATTAGATGTTAGGAAGAAATTCTTGACTGTGAGGGTGGTGAGGCACTGGAACAGGTTGCCCAGAGAGGTTGTGGATGCCCCCTCCCTGGAAGTGTTCAAGGCCAGGCTGGATGGGGCTTTGGGCAACCTGGTCTAGTGCAGAGTGTCCCTGCCCGCAGCAGGAGGGTTGGAACTAGATGATCTTTGAGGTCCCTTCCAACCCAAACCATTCTGTGATCTTCTTCCTCAGTGGGCTGCTCAGCTCAGCAGCACCTGGTTGGTATCCAGGCAGTCTGTGCACATGCTTCCCCCCCACCTGCAGGTCTGCAGCCCCAGATCCCGCAGAATGGGCACATGAGGGAGAGGAGGATGCTCTTGGTCTGTCAGGTCATACTGGCTGGGAAAGGAGAGGAAGCATTGGTGTGGATTGTATGGCATCTCAGGAGAGCTTTGGCAGGAAGGCATCTTCATGGTACTGCCCTCGGATAATTTGTATAGGGAATTCGGGATACAAAATCTATGGGAAAATCGCATTCATTCAGGTACTCATTCTTAGTAAAAGTTAGCTTTCAAACAGAAAATACTGCTATGCAGCTGGAAGAACAGTGATAATATTCAAGTTTGTGTACCACATCCAGTTTGTTAACTGGATGTCATTGCTTAAGTATTAAATATTAAACATTAATATAATTACTGATATTCTCGGTTTGTTCAGTATTTCAATCTGATGAATGTGACGGATTATATGTTGTGGTAGTTGTTTCACAGTTTGAAGCTGTGCAGACTACTTACCAGTTCTTATGTTTACTGGAGATTTTTCTCCAGCGTTCATAAGCAGAAAAGTACTATAATAAGAATTGTGTTTTCTAAAAGTTCTGAACCACGGAATATAGTCCTTCCTGTGGAATTCTGGAGAGGAATTCCAGAAGCTACGGAGAATTCACTTCTGCATTAGATCTGCTTAATGAAAACACTACAAAAACCTTTTTGCCCTGAGACTATATATTTTTATTTATTACAGGTATCCTTGTGTCTTTCCAGATATTGATGTACGAAATGTCGTCTAAACTAGTTATTTTCTTTCTCTTACAGGCTGCTGAATCAGGAATAATAAAAGTGAAGACAATAGCTGCACGGAACACTGATATTTTGGCAGGTAATTATTTGCAATGCAGTGGGGAAAAAAACCCTTGAGTTACAGATCAAAATGTCAAAAATGTCTTGGATACGTGTAATAATCCTACATGTCTTTTAGTGTGTGCTATATTAACGATGCTTTACTTTTTGACACCTAGCAAAAAATCCAGTAGCATGAGAATTTTTTTTGATACTACTTTTTCATGTTAGTGCTATACTGATGCTGAGGAAGGTCTCCATTTTCAGTTGTGTCTCTGTAACCATCCACTTAGAAAAATAGGATGAAATGCTTAGGCTCCAAATTCTCAATATCTTATTCGCTATCTGCATTCACCATGGCTGTTGTTGAGGGCTCTGTGTGGAGTTCTGCAGTATCATCCTCATCTGTGTGTTTAGTATGAGAGTCTAGCCTTTGGAGACTTGTACCTGGCAGGCAAAATTCCGTCTTAATCTGAGACAAGGTCATTCAACTTAAGATGTACCATTGCCTTGAGGGACAGGAGATAGCTTGTGAGTTGCAGCTTTGTAAGTGCTTAAAACAGTATGTCTGACTTTCTTAAGTTTTATTAAATAGTGTGTAAATTGATGGCTTCTTGCCAATTGCTGGTAAAGCCTTTGGCAAGATTTGAACGCCCCTGTATTAATATGTGTCTACTCCAGCTGTAGTCAAAATCCTTAAAATGCTGAATTATTTGAAAGGTCCAAATGAAATACATGTATAACTATTTCTTGTTTTGAGGTATGCAAATCAGATATTGGTAAGGAGGCATTTCCTAGAATTATTTGAAGTAGCAGTCCTACCCTTCAATATTTCACTTTAATGCCTCTTTTTTATTTGTTTATTTTTTGTTTTTACTGCTGTCATGAATGCTGACATAAGTGGGGAAACTATGCCAGGTAATGTCAGCTATGCATCAAAATATGCAAATGAATAAGAGAAATCTCAAGTTAGCCATTTGGGAAGCTGTCGACATTCTTTGGCATATTACTGTGTAAAGAACTTTGTATTTTAGAAAGCTAGTTTGTAATCCTGAAAATTCTTTGCTTTTTAATCTTAATTTCAAAGTGAAGAGGTGTGAAAGATCATTGATTTTGGGGATGGATAGGCAGTCTTTACTTTTGTCTTTTTGAGGGAATGCTTTCTGGTAGTTGGTCAAATTTGTAAATACTTTTCCTTTGGAAGGTGTAAGCTAGAATGTAGTTAGTATTTATTTCGTTCATCAAAAAACCTGTACAGATTTGTTGTTACGAGGTTTGGAAAAGGAGCAGGTCATAGAAGTTATTTTGATTAGTTAATCGTTGCTGATAGGATAATAACTCTTTTCACAGTAAGAAACTGCGGAACAGAGGGGAACATATACTTTGCCTGCACGTTATGCTAACGTTTCACAGATTAAACATAATGCCAGTAAACAGTTCCAATTCTTTGTGGACTCTTGTATTTTCTGAGGTATCAGTTGTAGCCTAATCTTGTAGATAAGTTAGTGTCAAGATCTCTGTTGTCTCCTACCTGCTATTTAAACTTTTCGCAGGAAGATAGTATGTATACTTTAGGAATAATAAAGCTGCAAAAGGCTACTGTAACTGTGAAATCTAGCGAAGTAGATACTATTTGACTGCTAGATGATTTAGGAACATCTACTAGACATTCTAGTTACCCAAATAAATATTTTCATCAGGATATGATTTTTTCTTTATATTTTGATGTAAACTGTCATTTCACTAGAATAGAGCAACTGTATCAGATTGGTTTGAGTAAGCTGACCTGATGCTTTCTTGAAGCATTACACTGTGTCTGATTATAAGGAAAATAGACGCAATCTTAAAATGACGAATACACAGAGGTAATATGTCTGGTGAGAGGTGTTTAACTTGCCAGAACTCTGAGGTCATTGATCTAACTCTTTCTTTCTCTCTCTTGGAAAAGTTAAGTTGAGCAGTTTCAAAGTCTTCATTCTTGGCAGTCTGTACAAGCTTTATCATTTATTTATGAGGATTTAAGTCATTCCAAAAGAGAAGTCAACTTGTGCTTTATATCACAAGAGATAAATGTGAGAACTTATTTCCACATGGCTCTGAGATGTGCAATTCATGCTTTTGTTTTAGAAGGTTTTTTTTTTTTTTAAATTAGCATTATAATCTTGCTGATGGAATGGAGGAGTAAGTTTTACTTTCCCAAAACTTCTTTCTTGATGTGGTATATTACGATAGATTTCTTTTTTAATGTATTCTTACATAATTTTGGTAGCAAAATGGAAGCAGACCTGGATATAAGAAAATATTTGTGTATTTTAAGACTGAAGCTAATATAATGATTGGTACCAAACCAGATTTACGAAACGTTAATTTTTAAGCTTCATAAAGTAAAAATCTTTGTATAGATCCTGTTGTGACATTATTGTTTTCAATGGATTATAGGAAAAATACTGTAAAAAGTATAAATTTTTCTTTGTCTTATTTATTAACTCACATGCCATTTTTGCCATTCAGAACGTTATCATGAGTCTTATGTTAAGGATAAATGTTTTGAGGTATCTTTTTTTAAAAATTTTGCTTTCTTCTTTCTGCTTCATGGTTAGAATTTGGTGGCAATTCAGAAACTTATATGAGTGAAGAAGCATTTGTACCCGTGTTAGAGTAAGCTCTCTAGGCTCTGTCAGCCATGCGTTGTAGGTTTTCATAGACTATAAAGGCAGCTTAGACATCTAGCTCACATGTAGAGACACTGACAATTAGATGCCTAAATTACAAGCCTTAATTGGGAACAAACTTATGTTTTTGATGAAGTAGTCAGTGTTTTGTTTTTAATCTGAAAATCATGGGAGTATTTTATAAGCGAATGGTATTGGTGGATATGGTTTTGCTGTGTATTTTAAAAGCAGGTTTATTTGCGTTGTAGTTAAAACACCTGTTGAAATCAAAGCAGATTGTTAAACAGGCAGTGAACCTATGTATTCATTCACATTTATGCTGACATTTTAATTGTTTTTTATTGGGGATTTGGTGCAAGGTTAGCCTCTGTCAACTGGGCACAGAGCCTGTACTGGCTCTGAAGAGGCTGATGAAACTATGGACAGTATATATCACCCTGTAAGAACTATTACCTTATAGAAAGTTGGCATCTATAATTTATACTAGCCTGTTATTTTCATAGAAACTTGTTAGTCATATGCTAGTGCTTCAGTTTAAAAACATCACTAAAATATATTTTTGTAGCCCTTTACCTTGATGTTTGGGGGTTTTTTTTCCAAATCAGTTGTAGTGATACTTAATAATAATCTCTCTTGAGAGCCAAACTTCAAATTGCTCAAAAGAAGAAATAGAATTGATCATGTTTGCATTTTTATGTGAGAATATATCTTTTGTTTGTTTGTGGTAAGATCTGTGCTCTAAAAATGTGTGTAAAACTTCTTCATGAACACATTTCTCTTATTACACATAGACTAAAACATGGTGGATGACATCCACTGTAAGAACACACAAAATGAACTTTCAACTGTGTGGAAATGTTTAATATCTGAAATGGTGATGAGCAGCTAAAATTTTAAAAGTTTGCATGAACTAACAGCCAAACACAGAAACAGAAAAGCAGTCATTGGTCTGAGTCATGCTTTCTGTTCATCTTTCAGAAATATTTTTTTTTTTAAAGGAGAAAAATCTTCACTGGAAATACAGCATTTCACACTGACATTTTAAAAAGTTTTTCCCCATAAAATTAATTCTAGAAATCTGAGATAAATTTCATAAAATTAAAAAAAAAAAAGTTCATGAAACTTGTCTTTTCACCTGACAAGGCTTCATTTTCAGAAGCTGGCCTTTCTCACTAAAACACTGGTTGAAAAATTCGCAGCCAGGTGTACATACCTGGGATAGAAATAATCCTGTCTCTTTCTCCACCTGTTTTGTCGATGGCATTTTGCTATTCCCCTTCGTTTGGTGTGCTTTGATCTGTCTCTTTGCGCAATGCTTTGTGTTGCTTTTGACTTGGGTGCTGAGGTGAAGCAGAGCAGGAGAAGGCGACCAGCCTGAGGCTGGTCACCGCCGCAAGGCCAGAGAGAGCTCTGGGGTGGGCAGAGCCTTGCAGCTTCTTACTAACCAAATGGACTCAAAGTGGACATTTTTGGATTTGGAAAGAGAAATACACTGGAGTGTGTAAGGGAGAAGATGCTTGGGATTTGAGCCTCAGCCAGGGTAATTGTGGAAGTGAGTTGTTTCAGCCCAGTGACCATCTTCACCTGGCTTTTCCCTGTGGTGCAAGAGTAAATCCCAAATTTTCAAGACTGGAGATTGCTTTTTGTTAATAGGTATGATTTAGCAAATTTTGCGTTATATTCTTCAAAGTATTAAACATTGACTGCTTCCGTATCTCTCTTTGAAAGCATTGAAAGAGAACAGCTCAGAGGTAGTTCAGCCTTTTCTAATGGGTTGTGGAACAAAGGAACCAAAGATCACTCAGCTGTGTCTAGCAGCCATACAGAGGCTCATGTCCCATGAAGTTGTTTCAGAGGTAAGATCTATCTTTTTATAAATATATAAATGTTTCAGTGAGAGAAACACAGGCTTCAAACTGAAGGTGAATGCCTTATTTAGGAGGCTGTTTGTATTACAATGAGCATAGTCTGCAGAATATTTCACTCGTACTTGTTTTTAAAAAGATGTAATTTAAAAGAAAACCTTTTTGACCGTAAAAAAGAAAAAGAAAAAAAAGAGGTGAGGAAACGTTAGTAACTTCTAGAAAGAAATTAAAATTCAAACTAGCTCATTTAGTTTGCGTTCTTATACCACTGGAACAGAACATGTAATGGTCCTTGATAAATATAATTCGTAAGGTTGCATCCACAAAATTTACTCTGTGTGATAACATAATATATAATGTTTTTGTTACATGTTACTTTTAAAAATAAGATGGATGCACATTTCCTGCAACTATAAATATCGTGATATATTATGGTACTGCGTATATAGTGTGTTAAGAAGCTGGTGAAAATAATGCTGTTAAAATATACCTTCAATTGTGCTTGCATAATGTAAAATTGCACTGGTTTTGAATAAATTTTGAGGGTAAAATGTCTTTGTACTGTCTCTTCTATTTTTCCAAGTAGAAAATGAAGTACGCGTTTTAAGTTGGACTACACAGTAAGAGATTTCTGCCGTCAATTCTTAAAAAGTATTTTGGGAAGCTGGTGACAATGAAATTGGCTTTATGTTCTCAATGTAGTCCTAACGTATAGACAAACAGGCAAATTCAGTTATGATAAGCATTTATAAGAGTGCTATTTTTACATGTGTACACATGATATACCAGTGTGAAAACATCTTAATTGTTGGCAAAAAATATTTCTTTGTAGGCTGCAGCAGGAAACATTATTAATATGCTTTGGCAACTGATGGAAAATAGTCTTGAAGAACTTAAATTGCTCCAGACAGTTCTTGTACTTTTAACAACCAATACAGTTGTGCATGATGATGCACTGTCCAAGGTAAGAATTTGTTAGTGTCAACTATAGTACTTAAAATATCCAAGAGGAAAAGCAGGGAGAAATTTTACATATGAAGCATTTGGAAATAATGTAAGAGGAGGGAGGGTTTTTTGATTCTATTGTGTCTTTATATCTAGACTCTGAAAAGAGTATTTCTTTTAGCTTCCTTTTGGATCTGTTTTTTTAATTCCTCCACAAGAATACATTTCTGACTTAATGGGAACTTTAAATTAAAACACTGGGCTAATGCCTGTCCTTCTCATCTGCTAAATTCATGGTATGTGTGTTTTTGATCTGAAATCAGAGCACATAGTGCAGTGTAAGCTGTTGCTAATAAAGCAAGTATTAGAAGAAGCTGCCTGCCCCCCTGCCTTAAATCTCTTTCAGAAGCAGTTCAAGTACTGTCTTTTAGTCAGAACTGAAATAACTTTATGGCATAAATTTAAACATGTACCATTGTGGATATTATGTTTCATCTAAGACAAAAAATAAGGATTCCAATCCATTTTAATCTTAAACTACAAGATAATTCTTTTTGAAGGAGCAACATTGTTTACTCATCCATGAGTTACGAAGTTCTGTTTAAAGTTCCTTTTCTAGATTACACCTTAGAATTTTTTCTCTTTAAGAATGATTTTTTGTTTTTAAACAAATCATTCTTTGTTTGTTTGTTTTGTTTTAAGAGAGAGCGAGAATAGAATTGAAGAATATTTTTGAAGGCCTTCTTTTCTGGGAGAAGGTTTTCAGTTTTTCTTTGCTTCTGCTTTTAAGGAAATAACTTCCTAGCTGGTTAAATGCATGGGTATTAAAATCATTATTAATGTACTTAACCAAGGAAAGGAAAAACATGAAAGGAAAACAAAGCTAAGTTAAAGGACTGCTGAAGGCAGGGGGATAATGGAAAAATTATAAAACCTATAAATGGCAGAATAGAAACTTGCTAAGGATTGAACAGTTTGTCAGTAGGTTCTTTTTTGCCTTGAGTAGTCAAATTATGTCAAAAACTCTTCAGCACTCTCTTGTTTCTTTTGTTGCAAATAACACTCATTTTCCAAATGAGGTGCGATGTTCTTGGGCAGAAGCATGATTTTTGAAGAAAATGGAATTACTTTCCAAAGTGGGATTGTCAGTCATTAACTGGGTAGCAGATGTTCTTTAACAACCTGCAATGTTGTCGTTTTATCAGGTTTGAATCTAGTAGGCTCTAGAAGATGACAGTTGCTGTTGAAGTCCACTGTACCTTTCCCTTCTACAGATCATATCTCAGCTTCTCATCACTTCCCTCATTTATTCTTCTTCCTTTGCCTCCATATACCCTCTCTCTCTCTTCTCCCCCCTGCGCCCCCCCCCCCTTGTTTTTAGGTTCTTGGTATCTACATCCTATTTCACTTTTTTGTGTGTGTCTTTCAAACACATTTTCCAACATCATTTATTTGTTCATCTTTCTAATGCCTAGAAATTTTCTCCTTTTGGACACTAGCCACAAGAGTGTGTGGGCGCAGCAGTGTCAGACATGTAGGGAAGGTCTTTCCCAGCATGTTTTTCTCCTGTCTTGTATCCTGATCTAGAAGCTTACTCATTTAATACAATTACTTGAGAATCTAATTGCTGTACTTCTGACAATTTCTGTAGTGCACATTAATATCTAGTACCTTTAGAAATGTATAGTCAAATTTGGGCAGGCTCTGACAGGGGTAAGAAAAAAAACTTTTCTGACAGAATAATATCCTGTAAAATTTCTTAGTGTTGTCCAAGGCCTGAAATTACTAAAGTTTCTCAGTTGAGCAAAAAAAAAGCATTACTTGGCATGGGTAAAATGGTGCAATGGTTTGTTTGGGGTTTTTTTGCCCCCCAAGATTTTTTTGACAAATATCTGAAATTTGAGGTTTTCCCCCCATGTTGAAACATTCTTAGAGAAGATCAGTTTAAGCCAGACATATATTGCATATTCATATTTCAGCTTGACTGTTTTAAATTACTTACTGGTAAACCATCTTGAAAAGCCCCTTAATACAGGCATTGCTGTTAGATTTATCCAGAGAGTATGCAGTGTCTTCTGAAAGTCCAGAGGTGTTATGATTGTGTTGTAAAACTTCAAACTAACATGGGGATACCACCTGAGCAGGGTCCACAAATCATTTACAAGAAAAAGAAGCAAAAGAAAATTCTGAATCTTGTATGGCTTAGAGCATGTAGCACTGTGATTGGGTGTGGTTGAGGTTCACACAAGTGCAAGAACACTGAATAAGGACAAAAGAACAAGAAATACAGGTTTCACTACACATACAGATGTTAATTTTCAAAATTGATTATAAAATAAGTAAGTATTAAATTATGTGTTAGAGGTAATATGAAATCCAATGGGAAACAGTATTCAGGTCACTGCCAGCACAATGACACATTAAAATACACACCTTAGAGAGGAATAATAGCAGTTAAGGCAACATGGTTGTAAAGGCATTGTAATTTTATGTAAGAGAGGAATGGCATTTTAGCTTTGGAGTTCCCTGACTTTTCTGTGATTAACCATATAATCCTAATGCCCTTTTGACATTAATATTCATACAAATTGTTTTCTGTGGTTGATTACTGTGTAGTCTCTGTATGATGATTGTAGTTTTATTGGCATATCATAATGTCTTCAGTTAATAACACTTCTAGATTACCTTTAGGGAGGATTACGAAAGAGGTTTGTGGCTAGGGTAATCCATAAAATTTACTCTGGTTCTTCAAATTTAAAATGATTACACCAATTTTTTTTCAGGCAACCTTTTGACAAACTATAGTGGAAAGCATTCCTCAATCAGCTATCTTGACTCTTAGCTAAAAGATGAAAATATATTGTTGTAAGGTGATTTTTTTTTTCTTTTTTCCCTTTCAGGCAATTGTACTTTGTTTTCGATTGCACTTTACAAAAGATAACATCACAAATAACACTGCGGCAGCTACAGTGCGGCAGGTAGTTACTGTTGTATTTGAGAGAGTGGTTGCTGAAGATGAACGATACAAAGGTGGGCATACTTCTTCCTCTGCTTGTTTTAACCTGTTTTTTGGACACCCATCAAACGTTTATCTTTTTTCAGATAAAGAAGTAGTAAAAAGTCTATAAACAGTACAAAAAAAATTACAGACGTTATTCATTTTTACTGTCTTTTATATATTTACTTGATTCAAAGGAGATTAAATCTTTAGCCTTTGTGTCAGTCCAAGTCAGTCCAGCAATATATAAAACTTAGATTATTTTTTTTCAAGCTGTGAGAACTGGTCTTCAGGTTGGTATTGCAAAGGAATATGAGGTGAGGGTGTCATTTAAGGTGAAAGTAACTTAGATTACTGAGTGTGAAATACATGGCAGTAGTAGTTTTGAAGAGAACATTTATTGGAAAGAAGTGCTTTGTAGTGATGATCTTTGGTATTCAGTTTAATGTTTATTTCTGTAGACGTAAAAATTGCAGAAGTATTACCTGGCCATTTTCCTAGAATATTTTTGTAAGAACACTTAACGCATACTGATTTTGAACAGTTCCTTTGTTTACAAAACTGGTTTTTGTTTTTACACAGATACTATTGACCAGCCAGTTGCAGTTCAAGGAAACAGTAACAGAAGATCTGTCAGTACACTGAAGCCATGTGCTAAAGATGCATACATGCTTTTTCAGGTAGTTGGGGAGCATATATTTGTACATTTTCAGTTATGATTGGCTGTTTCTACATCTCTCTAAGAAATTTCAAAAATTTGCTGTTGGCATGTTGACAGGGTCCTTAACCAGAGCCTTGGACTTTCTTATGCGCATTTGTTGTAATTGGCAATGATATGCTGTATCCCAGGGGGATGATTGGAAAATGAAGGCAAAGTGGGCAAGGAAAATGTTTTTCTATAAATCTTAAATAATAGCTAAGCATGCATGTCTGCATTGAGTTCAAGATTCTTTTTTCCTTGAGCCAAACACTGCTACTATAGTTGAGACTTGCTTCTTGTGCTTGGTATTGTATATTAAAGTCAAGTATATAATAAAAAGTAGTAGTTTAATTCATCACACCATTAAAAATCTTCTTGACTTAGCAAGTTCACTGGTCTTGAGGTATTTTTGAGGGCAGGATTGAACACAATTGCTACAAGGATACCAGCAAAGTTTAACATTTCTTTTTAAAAATTTTTTGCTTTTAATAATTCAGGTAAAAGAAGTATTTGAGGAAAAATTATGTTGAAATTTGAAAATTACTCACTACAAAAGAGGGAGAGAGTGTAGATCTTGTAGACTCAGAAAACTTATGCTGGTACAGGACTGGGCAGAGAATGTAAATATTACTGTATTTCTTTTTAAGGATCTTTGTCAGTTAGTTAATGCTGATGCTCCCTACTGGCTCGTGGGTATGACAGAAATGACACGGACATTTGGCCTTGAACTTCTTGAGTCAGTCCTCAATGACTTTCCACAAGTCTTTTTACAAGTAAGTAGTTCTTGGAGGGAAAAGAGGAAGACACTTGTTCACATGAGTAGTAAAATTTACACTTCACTAACTTCTCTTTAATTTAGCATGAGTACTACTTTTCAAAAGGACTTGCAGCTTTTACGTGTTGGGTTTTTATGACAGGAAAGTGCTGTGTGCTTTTTGCCCACTTTTTTCCTATTCCCACGCACTTTATTTGTGTTTGTGAATATTGTAGAGCGTGTTGTATTCTGTTTCACTTTTTGTTTTGCCATTTATATCTTCTCCAAAGATGCATTTTCTTATCTTGCATGATTTGTGACAGCTCTGTAACTTAGTTTGTGGCATTGTTATTTCTATGAAAACATTAACCTCAACCCACTCGCAAAGCAGCAAGAATCATGACTATGAATTGTGCAGATCTACTGCATATAAATGCATCGTTTCCTACAGTAACACATTTTAGCAGACAATAGCTAAATTAAAAAAACCAAATATACAATAAATGATGTATTAGCAGCTTATTTCAATTTGCAAAATACAAGAAGGAGGGTGCATGGTATGAACCTGACCATGTCATTTTGTCATGCTTTTTGGCATCTTTGCAATGCTGTCTGCTGTTCTTCCTTTTCATTTCCTGAGCGTGTAATTTATACCAAGATTTACGTGACTTAAGAGTGGTTGATCATAACAGTAGATGTAAATAAGAAGCATAATCAGAGCTACTGGTAGCAATTAAAGAATACCTGCATATAATTTGTTCTGTTTTCTTTTTCAGCATCAGGAATTCAGTTTTCTTCTTAAAGAAAGGGTATGCCCTCTTGTTATAAAGCTCTTCTCCCCAAATATCAAATTCAGGCAAGGTTCCAGCACGTCATCTTCCCCAGCACCAGTGGAAAAACCATACTTCCCCATCTGTATGCGTTTGCTGAGGGTAGTTTCTGTTTTGATTAAGCAGTTTTACCGTTTGCTGGTAAGAATATCTTCAAATTTTCTTTACGCAATTCTGGTTTCGTATCTTTAATATGCCAGTACTGTGGTCAGTAATAGCATTAATAGTTCTTGGGAATTGTTGACGCATACCAAGGGAAGAAAAGTCTAAATATTCTTTTCCTCTTAATGTGTATTTGTGTTTACATGTGTTCTGCATGTATGATTTTATTAAACATGGGCTGGTATAAATTCTCAGAGTTGATTAGCTGTTGTCTTTTCTGTACTTCACTGCCTTTCAGTTAAGGTTTTGGGAACCTTTTGATCTTCTTATGTTGTTTGCCTGTCTTTAGATAATGTTGATTGCTGTGCCTTGTTAATATTTGCTAAGAGGCTTTTGACTTGTGTTGCTAAAGCTGTTGACAGAATGTGCATAAAAAAACCACACATTCAGCTGTTCGTATCTTCTGAATTTTAGATATTTGCTAAAAAAGATTGTTTTCATGTAAGAACTTTAATGCAATGTTTGTGAGGAATTTAACTCCTTCAGTGCAATTGTATATGTGATGTTAACTTGGCAAAATGTTATGATTATGAGGTATGATTTTTATATAATTTTGCGTAAATGCTTGTTAAAGGGGTTTTTTAGATCATGTGCAAAACTTGCTGGGATAGGACTCCTAAGATGAAACAAAAGTGTTTTGGAGAAAAAATTTTGTAGGAGGCTTTTTCTTTTGGTTTAATGGCTATAAACTGTATCTTTCAGGTAACAGAATGTGAAATCTTTCTGTCATTGCTGGTTAAGTTTCTGGATGCAGACAAACCACAGTGGCTAAGAGCTGTTGCGGTAGAATCTATTCACAGGCTTTGTGTGCAGCCTCAGCTTTTAAGGTATTAAATATATTGAATTTCACTTTTACAAAAAATTTAAGAAATCTTTTTATTTTTCTCTGGTGGAAAATACTTCCTAAAACATTGTAAATCTGTAGAAACTTAAATGCAATAAACTTCTCAATATAATTTTTTGTAAAGCATTAGGCAATGCTTATTATCCAGGAAGGGCTCAATTATGGTTATTTGAGTATTCCAAACCCTCTCTGCCTCACCAGTGTCAAAGGAGTATTTACCTGAAACTAAGTATTACTATTTAGCTCAATATTTGCAGTTAAAATATTTGCTTTTAGTCTACAGTTTGGAGGGAATGGGAAGTTGCTGTTAAAATATACTTTTAGTCCCTAATTTGTCAAATACTCATTGTATTTTATAAAATACTTTCCAGGTCCTTTTGTCAATCGTATGATATGAAGCAACATTCCACTAAAGTTTTCCGTGATATTGTGAATGCACTGGGGTCCTTCATCCAATCGCTGTTTCTTGTACCAAGTACAGGGAACGCATCAGCAACACCAAACCAAACTGGTAAAGCCTTGTCTTTACTATCATTTTAATTTTCCAGCATTTTTTTGTAATAATAAATTCTCATTTGATTCAGTATGTGCATTTGGCTTGGTACAGTTCTGTACTTCCGTGTTCATTGAGGTGAAAAGCTAACTTGAGACAAACTGGTGTTTTCAGGTTTGGTACAACAGGTGATTTTTATCTACCTGTATTATGGGGAAGACGTAGCCTGCAGTCAGCAGAGCAGTGCTCCTGCATTTGTATGGGCTTCTACAGTGACCAAGCTTCTTGTGTCACAACTTTTCTGAGGGAAATTCTGAGGAAATTATTTCTAATTTCTGACTATAACAAATTTGTCTGATTTCTTTCTCCTTGTGCAAGATGTCATTTATGGCAGTGTGCAGTTGAAGTAGTAAGACAGTGTGTGTTTGCTTCTTCCTGGGATGTAATAGCTAGTTCTTCTGGATGTTCAGGGACAAAACTGGATTGAGGAAGCCAAGAGGTAGCAAGAAAGATCTGTGTTTTACAGATCATCTTTGCTTTTTCTGTAAGCTTGAAAACATTCACTTACTGAAACTAAATCTGATTGTCTCTTCTTGCAGCCAGGGGTTTGGCATTTCACTAGGTATATTTTTATTTCTGTAAGAAGAAATGGTCCTTCTGTTAATGCCTTTGCAGATATTTACATCTGAGTTAAGGCTCTCTGTTTTGTCCCGTGGTTCCAGAAACAGAGGCCAGGTGATAATAAACAGATAAACAAAGTATAATAATTATCTATCATATCTACTATTAAATTAATAAACATTAAAATATCTGGGTTTAGACTCACACCTCTCAGGGTTCTGTCATGAAGTCTGAATTCTAGGTTGGATAATGTGAAGAAATTTGTGTCAGTAGCTGTTACTCAATAGCTTTCTGCACGGAAGCTGATGGAGTACTTCTGTTAGTAGTATTTCTGGGTTAGTTTAATCCACTGAGAGTAAATCAGAAGAGCACTTTTCATCATGTAACATACACATATGAGAAGTCATTGTAACATACTCATTCTCTTGAGAACTTAAATTTTGCCGTCATGTGAAGCAGCCCTGCAGTAGGGTCATACCCTTTGTGCTGTCACTATTTCTTTGGCTTGTTGTTCCAGTTTTTCTCCTTTACCTTTTCACTTCTTTCTGCCTGAGTGTTTCTCCTGTCTCTTTCTCATGTGTTTCTGACTCTTTTCCTCCTATGTCCATGTCTAACATGCAAAGAGCAGGTCAATGCAATTTTTGAACTAAGTCTTCTGATTATAATGATAGTCCTGTTGTAGCAGGCTGTCTTACACACCTGTAGTTGGCTTTGAGCCTCAGTTTTGCAACAAGGTGGCTGTTTCATAGGAAAAGTTGAAAGATGAATCTACCACTACTTACGTTTTGCGTCACTTTTATTAAACTGGTGCAATGCAAGCCTTTTTACCACTTTAAGGAGTTATGTTGATACAAAAATAGTTGCATGTGTCTGACTGCTTGGTGGGATCACAGAAAATGACACCAGCATACCTGTGTTTTGTGGCAGTGTTTGGCTAATCATTTCTGTTTACCAGTAGGATTTTGTTGTTTCAATCTGTTAAGCTTGCCTGTGTTAAAGTGTATACGTAGGCTTCTGTGTGTATTCGTATTGCCTAAGTTAGTAGTTTAGTCTCTCTGCATATAAAAAAAGTAAGCACAGCAAAATGGTGGTTGTTACACTGATGTATTGGGTGCTGTGAGTAACCTCCTTGGGGACTGCCCTTCTCTCCCATTGTCTGTACAGAGAGAGTCTGAACTTGTACCTACTGGTAGTAAGTATAGACCTCCTTCTATATGTAGGAACTGTATATATACAGAATTCCTTGTCCTTTTATCAGCTTTTTTTGGCTTCTTAAATTGGATCCAAAATTTGTTCCCTCCTAGCTGTTGGTTGGCATGTTGTCAGCACTACCCTGATGTGGTTTGGTTTTTTCTACCTTGGAATAGAACAGATTCAAACATTGCAGTTTTCTTTGAGTTTCTTCTTGTGGCTCTTGCATTTCTGAAATCTTTAAAGTTTGTGATGTTGTTATTGGAATGATTAACATCTCTTTTCTGCTACTGACTTCTAGGTGCAGCTATTCAAATAGTCCTTAAAATATCTGTCTGACTCTTCACTATAGTATATATTGTTTTATTGAGACTGTATAAGTTTAGTTCATTCACAGAATGTTACGAATGCTGCTATACCTTTCACACAAACATTTTATTCTGACTGAAAATAAGGCAGTTGACATCAATCAACTGTGCCTTTTAAACTACTTTGCACATAGGATTGTGTTTTAGACAGCAGAGGGAGCTCAAAAATAGCTTTTTGTGTTGGTGGTTTTGTTTTTATTATCAAGCAGGGCATCTTGGATTAATCCACATATCTCAATGAAATATAGAAAAAGGATGTTTGCTGATCGCTAGGACTAGATTGGTTAATTTTATCACTTTGTTTTTCTGAATAGGAAGCAATGCATCGGGGAATACTGGCTCAGCACAAACTAACCCAGGAGTGCTTGGAATGGGAGGAGGTGCAACTGTATTACCTGCCTTTGAGTATAGAGGCACTTGGATTCCTATCCTGAATGTAACAGTACAAGGCAGTGCTAAAGCTACCTAGTAAGTATCTCTATCTTTTTGGAAATGTATATAACAAATACTTTTATTGCCAACTTGATGATTTAAGGATTTTTTTATTAGTGAATATTGAGGTCTTAATTTCACTGGCTTGAGGTATATTATGGATTTTCTTTTAGTTGGTGCCATGAGGTGGTGTGATTTTTCCCTATTTTTTCCAAATGCTCTGGATTCTGATCCAAATATCCCCTATGGCTTTAGCATCTGTTGGATTTTTTTCCTACCATACTGTTGCGGTATTAATTCTTCACTTTTAGGCCTCACTACAGAATATAACAATTTTAGAATATCTTTTGCTAGGTTATGTAATGGCAAACATTAGGGGGGCATTAAGCAAATGGGACATCAGTGGGAGTGGAAAACAGCTTTCTTACACCAGCTTTACTGTATTTACAGTTTTTATTGAACAGGATATTGTGGTAGATATTGGCCAGGTTGTTTTTCCAAACAATATATTGACCTATATACAAAGGTTAAACTGTGAATACTTCTTAGAATGACCAATTATTTTGTTAGGACTTTGTATAATGGAGATCATGTTCTCGGTTTAGAGCTGTGAATATTACTTTACTTTTGAAGTAGTGGAAGTTCTTCTATGTCAGTCATGACCATTGAGAGCCAATCTCTTCCAAATTGAACGTTATTCGTACAGCCCATGAAACTTTGGCCTACTAATACTCAGAAGCTATCTGCTGATTTCACTATCTCAATACTTTTTTAAGGTAGAAACTCTTTATCTGTCTTTGAGACACAGAAGGACAAATCTATCCTCAGTTTTCAATCTTTTAATATACATATGACTTTTTGTTCTGGCAGTGGCCATGAATGTTATTTTAGGTTACCTGACTCTTCTCATGAAATGCAAATTTTTTACAAAAGTGGATGAAAGCTAGTTCATACTTTGGCCAGCTACTACAACCTCCTGCTTTCTTCCTTTTCGTCTTTCTTACTTTTATTCTTAACTGGCTCAAGAACATTGCAGCCACCATCAGCAGTCTCCTGTGCTGCTCTGAACTTTCTTGTCTTACCTTTGGATCCCTCCAGTGACTCCATGATTTCCTCTGAGTAGTTTTTGCATTCTTTTTTTCTTCTGTGTAAGATTACGGAATTGTTGCTAGCATGTCTTATCAGCAGTTTTTCTCCTATCTTGTACTTTTATCTGTAGTCCCTGCATGTAAGGACCATAAATACTGTAACTGCAGATTTGGGTCACATCCTAGCATGGATTCTCTCCTACTGCTGCCATTAGATTTTCATACTGTGGCCACATCTTACACTTTTACACAGTGATTTAATTGGAGATTTGAATTGTGAACAGAGCCAGCAGAGGTCTTTTTGCCAGTGTGGGCCTGTCTCCTCGCAGACCACTATGCCTTGTCTTCCTCTTTACATGAGGAAGTAGGTATTTTTAAGAGGAACAGACAAAGACTATTCAGCATTTGGGCTGTGACCATGTAACTGTAACAACTCACTCCGTCTATTCAGTAGTTTGCTTTCCAAAAGTAAGAGTATACGACCTCTACCTCACAGGTATGTTGTAACTAAACAAAAACTCTTTAATAATTTTAATTAGAGCCATATACATACACATACTTATTTTGTAGATAGATGGTGGAATGTTGACCATTTGATTTATCTATACTACCTGTGCCCCCAGATATCTAAGGCAGCCATCTTCAGGAAATTAGAGGTGATAACTGAAGCGTTACACGTTTGGGAGAAGGAAAATCCTTTGTGCAGAAAAAAGCGGTGACACTACAGTGTAAAAGTATCTTTGGTATATTGTAGTTGGAATGCCTATATTTTTTAAGAGTAGTTTGTAGAGTAAATGATGAAACAGTGGTTGCTGAGGTAGCAGGTAGTTTTTGTAACAGGCTGTCTCTCCTTGTGTAGACTCCACTGCTGTGGCAGCTACAATCTGTTTCCTGTTGGATTTGTAACTCAGCAGTTCTTTATGTGTTGTTAAGGTAAAATATGAAGAAAAGTGGCAATGAGGCTGCAGTTCTAGCACAGTGAGGATTTAATTGCATGGTTTTCAGCAGTGAATCGTGTAGACGTTTCCTTTTTGTACAAATAACTTACTTGGTTTACATATGCACGTAGGTTATGAATATTCAGTCATATATTACCTAGCTATGACAGGCTTTTCCGGTCATATGGACTCAAAGATAACAATAATGGAACGTCTGACTTGTTCTCAGTTTGTTATAACTATATTCATGACTTTCTGACCTATTTCCTCTGTTGTTCCTATGTACTTGTGTTCTTCTGAATAGGTTGCTGTGGTTTTAAGTAAAATTGTAATAAAAGTAGACTGATTCATTCAGTGATACTTGCTTATATGTGTTAATTTTTTAAAAAATATTTATTTGCAGATCTAAGTACTGTACTCTGGGTTTGTACGCTTTCATTTGCTATTTTTAGTGACTCATTTACTCTTAATGACTTAAGAAGTTTATTATCTTGAGTTGCTATAAATCTTGAAGGATGATATTTGGGGCCTGTTTGTATGTAACTTACTTTATTTGGAATCTTGGTTTTTTTAATTATTGTTTTCAATCACAGTGGTACTGTTACACACTTAGTTGTCATGCTTTGAATTTTTTAGTTTGGAAATGCTGGACAAAGTAGAGCCACCTACGATTCCCGAAGGCTACGCCATGTCGGTGGCATTTCACTGTTTACTGGATCTTGTCCGTGGTATCACTACCATGATCGAAGGAGAGTTGGGAGAGGCAGAAACAGTCAGTCAAACCACAACAGACACAACTTCATTACCAGCACAGTCTTCAGAGCAGCAAGACTTGCAGTCTGCATCTGACCAATCAGAGCAAGAACTAGGTATTTGAAAATGCAAACACTATATAAAATATAGCAGTTTTACATAAAGCAGGATTAAAATAGTTCATGCTTTATTGCTTAAATTTGTTGTTTCTAAATCGTATATAAAAACTTCTAATAAAGTGGAGTTTCGGATTTTTTTTTGTAACAGAGCAGTAGTAGTCTCTTAAAAAAAAAAAATACTTGATGTACTGCTTCTGTCATATAGCGCCTTACCGATAGTCTCCTTATGGTCTGTTAACACTGTTGTACATGTATGTACACGGGATCTGAGGGAGAAATAACAGGCATTCTGTTCTCCAGAACTACTGTTCTGCCTTCCTGTGTCCTTAATTCTGCTTAACACTGAGATCCAAGGTCACAAGAGACAACCTGACTGCAAGAAATGTGGCAGTTACAACCATATATAAAAGAAAAATGTATTTCTAGTAACAAGACCCAAAGATGAATGTTTTAATGGAGATGTGTAAAATAATATGAAAGTATTTAGGGAAGAACTTCTTTAAAAGCAGAAAGACTTGTGTCTCGAGAGTGATACAGAGTTGTGTACCAGGAAGCTGAGACGACCGTGCAGGAGTCTGTCCGGAGGCAGGGACGGAGGCTGGAGGCGGGAGGAGAGGGCTTGGGCCCCAGCGCTGCCCGCGCCGCTCTCCGTGGTGCTGCAGGCAGCGCCGCCCGAGCACCTTGGCGAGGCACGGGGGAGCGAGGTGTGGGAACGGGACAGGCAGAGTGTAGGTCTGTTAGATCTGTGGGGTTTTCTTACTAAACTAATGAAAAAAAAAAAAATTGTGGAGAATTATAAATGCCAGGGGGGAGAGAGGTTTTTTCCTTCACCGCAAAATTTCAGTGAGTTTCTTGTTTACCTGATGCCCCACATTTATGCACTTCTGAATGTTTACTTTTATAGACAAAGACAAAAAATAGTTATATACACACCTTTGTTAGATTTTTTTTTTTAATGTAATTTAGAAGCAGCATTGCCTTGGTGACATTTTTTACTTTAGCAATGTTACTTTAAAAGCAACTGTTTAAATGGTACTGGTGTGAGTGTGTTTAGGTTTATGTGCGTCTGTAAATTAACGTATAAAAACACACTTTAAAAGATGCAGCAGCAAGTATTTTGTTTGAGATATAATTGAAAGTTATTAAGTAAAATATGTGTTTCTGCTATAAACAATAGTATTTCTTTCAAGTTAGCAGAGCTGTCTGGGAAGAAATGGTGAATGCTTGTTGGTGTGGTCTTCTGGCTGCTTTATCCCTCCTACTTGATGCAAGGTATTTGGTCTTTGGTTTCTTTTGATTTTTTCATAGATGATATTCCCAGCCTTATTTTAACTGTCTTTTGATACTGGTTAAGTTGACAGTTGTACAAGAGTGCACTGTTCATAGTACCTAAGCAGAGAGGTTTGTGGGTTAGTGATGGCTAGACTGAGTAAGGATCTGTTAAGAGTAAATGACACAGAAGTCTCCAAAAGTCTAGCATAAACCTTGAACATACTAGTGTATGGAACAATTAATTGCATTTGCAAAGGGCTGCATTTAAGCCATTTAAATTATTTTTATTCCTTTTTACTTTGAATGTTTCAACACATCGAAGTGATTCGACTCGTGTCTTGATTACCATTGATAAGAGACTAAATAATGTCTCAGTACTTGTTAGTACAATGTAGTCTTTGAAGTGGAAAAGCTATTTACTAGATAATAACTCTGGTAACTTAATTGTCTCCTTCAAAGAGTCTTTTGTTATCAAACACCATTTTTTTTTTAAAATTAGCATTAAATATATCCTCATAGCCTCCTTTGCCAAGTCATTCAGAACTAAAGACCAATTTTATAGGAAACGGTTCTGAAGATTTTTGTTGATTGGTTATGCTTGCTCTTCAGTATTTATAGTCTTGACAGTTTTTAAAGTATATGTTCTCATTGTTTTCAGTTTTGGTTAGCTGCCTGCTTCTGTGCCGTCTTATTAAATTATGTGTACTCTTTCAGTACTGATGAAGCTGCCACTGAAAATATTCTAAAAGCAGAATTGACAATGGCTGCACTTTGTGGAAGACTGGGTCTTGTAACATCAAGAGATGCCTTTATCACTGCCATTTGCAAAGGATCCTTGCCCCCTCACTATGCCCTTACTGTATTAAACAGCACAACTGCAGCTCTGTCCAGCAAATGTAAGTATATAGATTTTCCTTTATTGTTAAAATGTTTAATTTTGTTCCACGTATTGTCCATAACTCTAAACTCAAATTTTCTCAGGAGGTAATTGCAAAGTTATGCAACTGTAGTGTTTGGCTATACTAAATTTACTTAGAATCCTCAGGCAGAATCTAGACTGCCTGCTTTCAAGAATTGGTTAGTCTTGCAGCATCTGCTAGGTATCATTCTAGCAACTACCAACATTCTGTAAACCTAAAGCTTTCTGAATGCTTAGTATATATCAGAAGTTCATATTCTAAGGAGATATGCATGTCATCCTAAAGATCTGTTTGGATATGTAATTAAGGCATTCAGATTCTGAAAGGGGCTCTGGGCAACTCAGATACTTAGCAATTGGCTGGAACATCCCGCATTTGTGGTGTACTACATTCATTTCTACAACCGTGTAGTGATGATAGTACTTACTGCATAAATGGAAGGTTGTAAGTTCTGGGCTCTGTTCAGTTTACAAGGGATTGAATTGATGCTTCCCACATCCTGACAGAATGTTGTAATTCATGGTATATGCCAGTTGAGGGTGTACTCTGTTTCTAATTTTGAAAATTAATTACTGTGTACCAAGAAACACAGCTACCTGGAAAATATGCAGATGGATCTAACATTAGACCTCTTAATATAAACCAAAAATACCTTAGTCTGGGAACAAGGACCAGGACCTTTACTCCAGCCCACAAGCTAAGTGTATTATTAGATCATAAGTCTGTGAGCAGTACGCATGACTGAGCTGCACGAATCTTTATGCAAATAAGTTGTGAACTTAAATTATCGTAAATAGGTTACTCTTCTTTTTACAGATGAGTTATGAAAATGGTGTCCTGAAGTACTATATTGGAAAAACATCATGGCGTAGCATTTATGACACCTTCATTTTCTGAGTGCATTGGTACAATGGTAGCACACAGTGATACTGTTCACACAATTACCACAGATAACTGAGTTGAGACATAGTGTAATGCTTGTATCTTAGCACAAATATATCAGTCTCAACATAAAATGTATTAATATATTGCAAGCAGTATCTAATAGTTAGAGGGAGTAATTGCTGGGTCCTTTAACTCTGTAAGGCAATGACATAATAATCTAAATGTAACTAAAGGTCTCAAAGTGGGCCGCCTTAAAGCTAGTACTGTGAAAAAATTCTCAGGAGTGTGTGTGTCAGAAGGTGGTTGCTACTACAAGTACTGGGTTTTAAATTTGGATTTTTTTTTTTTTTTCAATTTTCCTCTAGCATATTCCATTCAGGGACAGAATGTTCAAATGATCAGTCCCTCGAGCGAGTCTCATCAGCAAGTTGTAGCAGTAGGGCAACCCTTAGCTCTTCAGCCACAGGGAACAGTAATGGTAAGTACAACTTGTAAATGATCGCATCCCACCTAACTGCTTCTTTCTGCATCTCAGTGTGTCTCAAAAATGGGCAACAGATAACTGTTATTCATAAGAATGCTGTCTATCTGAAATACTATCCTAAACTTTTAATTTAGAACAGCCATGGACAGCAAACTTCTCTAACTGTAAGGAAGACTTACCCTTGTTTTTCATCTGACTCAGCTCAGCAGCTCCCATTCATTCTGTTTGAGAAACCCTAGGTCTTAGCTCTGTCATGTGCCTGTGTCTGAAGGTTCACTTCTGGGTTTTTTAAAGATAGACTTTGATTTTGTGGAGCAGATGCACTTAAAGCTGGAGTACTTGAACTTACGTCTTTGATAATAAGGTGAAACTCGGGGGAGAGGGCAGTGATCAAATTGTATTCAACCCCAGCAAGATAAGATTGAGAGAAGAAGGAGAGATACTGAACTGCTACTCTAAAAAAGATACATTGCACCAGTGAAAACAAATTGGGGTTTTTAATGGTTTTTAATTTATTTATTAATTATAA